GCGGTCCCCTGCCTGCTGGGACCCTCAGGGGGTGTGACTGCACACACCCCACCTGTGCAAAATCTCTTTCAAGATCCGTCTATACCCATCCCCCGCCTTTCTTATCTTGTAACTGAATGTCCAAGCTCACTATAGAATTTGGTCACATTAAAGCATGGCCTATGGGCACAGTGTCCCAGCTCTGGAGGGGATCACAGAGCTCCGATTTCTGCAGGATCCGAGTTGTTGGTGATAAGTCCCCAGCGGACACTGTGGGAGGGGCCAGTGCTGTCACTTGGCTCAGGGCCTGGCTCCCAGAATGAGAGACTGAGGGTGGGACTGGCCAGGGCCCCAGGGAAGGGGGCCAGATGCTGATCTGGGCTGGCCTGGGCCTTGCTCTCGCCTGTAGACACCTCCCTTCCCTAAGGGGAGTCCAGGGTCTCCCGCTGCCCTAGCACCTGGCTCCCAGGGGCACCCACACGCACGCGCCCATGCACTTTTCTGTCTGGGCCTCCCCGCCCCCCACACCTCACCTGGGCGAGGAAGAAGTATCTGTAGATGTACACGGAGGCGAACACCAGCCCCATGAGCAGCACCACCATGCCCATCGACAGGTAGCACACGCCGCCCACGGAGCCCTTCCTGGAGCGCTGGGTGGGCGGCCGCTCCTCCTGTGGGGACAGTCTGGGGTCAGCCAGGCCCCTGAGGGCGGCCTGTTCCAAGGTAGGGGAGGGACACTTCCTCATGGTCTCTCAGCCTGCTTCTAGCTACCGAGAAGCCCAGACCCACCCTGGACTGCCTGAAACGACCCACTGGGACTGAGTAGGCGTGCTCTGAAGGCCTGAGCTCGGAGTCCCCTTTGACAGACACCTATGACCTCCGTGACGGCACTGGGCCAGGAGAGGCCACCCCGGGCAGTGAAGTCAGGAAGGCTTTCCGGCCGGGGAGGACCAAGATCCATAGTGGAGTGAGCAGGATGGACAGACGGGCGGCCCGGGAGCAGGCAGGGCTTCTGGGAGACTGAGGGTCTGGGCCTGTGAGCCACATGGCCAGCAGTGCCCTGCAGGCTGATGGGAATGGAGTCTACAGAGGGAAATCTGGAAGCTTCTAGAAGCCAGGGTAACTAGCGTAGGAGAGAAATCGCTGTAGGGAGACCAGGCCGCCTCTGAGGGTCAGTCTCGGGCTCAGGACTGAAGCCAGCAGGCTGCCAAGAAGCCGACAGTCCCAGCCCCAGCCCCGTGTCTGGGCCAGCAGAGCCAGCCGCGTAACCGTGCTCATCATTCCTCCCGAACTCCCTGGCCCCTGTCCTCTACCAACTCCTCTGTGGTATCTGGTGGCCAAGGGTGAGGTTAGAGGTCAACCCCCACGGGCCTCCCCCTTGACCTTTGGGGCAGTGTAGGGGAAGGGGAGGGGCTCTGGCATGGAAGCTGCTGCTCCTCAGTCTGCTGGTGGCACGCCCTAGGCCTGTTTCCCCACTGAGGTCAGACTAAGTGATCCGGCCCGTTTCCAGCCAGAGCTGGGACTGTGGCACGTTCCTCTCTTCCTTTGCTCTGGATGGTGGGAAGAGAGTGGGGACACTGCTCAGGTCTAGGTCGCTAGGACAGGCCCTTCGCAGCAGACTCCAGCTGGTATGTGTGGGGGTGCTGCACTTCTCCCTATGCCCATCAGAGCACAGGGAGGCGTGGGGCCCAGGCTTTAGGGAGCACGGGGACAGTTGGAGCCCTCCCTGCGTGGGGCTATCCCCACAGCTCACCCCCAGAAAAAGATGGAAAACATTTGAGGACCGTCCCCCGGGCAGGGCGATTCATCAGACCTTTGGCCACCCCGTCCCACCTCAGTGCCATGGGACCTCAGAGCCATGGCCCGCCCTGCACCCCACACCTGTACCTGGAAGCATGGGGGCCAAACCACGGCCCCTCAGACTGAGCCCATCCACAGACCTGGGATGGCTCCCTACCTGGGTTCTGCTTTGGAGTGGAGGAAGGTGTGATCACCGGGCCACCCACCTGACAGGGACCTCCTTGGCACCCAGGGACACCAAGTCACCAGCAAGTGACTCATGTGGCTGCAGCCCACGGGACCTTCAGGGACAGCTGCTGGCCAGAGGGGCTCCGACTTCCCAAAGCAGCAGCCTGCCAGTGCCTAATGAGGACAGGCCCCTGGGCTTGCCTTTCTGCTCCTCCAGCTGTCCAAGCGGGTCCTACAGGCAGCAGCTGACCCTGGCCAGGCCAGGTTCCCCCACACCTGAGTCCTGCCCGAGGAGCATGACAACTGGAGGCCCGTGCTGTCTCTAGGGGGACTTATAGGAGCTGCAGGGACCTGAGTTCTGCAGGGCCAGAACCCCCACCCCCACCCCAGCTTCCAGTCTCCCTGACCGACAGGGGGGTGTTGGATTAAAAGACAAAGAACCTGAATGCCCTCGGAAAGGACAGAGTGCAGATAAAAATAGCGGATCTTTATCAGCCCAGCCTTCCCTTTTTAGGGCTGCACCCAGGGAAACCAGGGAGGCTGGCTGTGCATGCTGAGGGAGGGAGGAAGGGAGGGAAGAGGAGAGGAGGGAAGGACCGAAGGAGGGAGGAAAGAATTAGGGAGGAAAAAGTCAGTGGGCTACCAGCCAGAGCCCCCCCCCTCCACAAATCAAGTTCATGGACAAGGAAGAGGTGAGGCTGCAGCTCTGGCTCTGCACTTCCGGTGGGTGGGTCTGGTGGGTCAGGTGTCTCCATGTCCAGGGCTGGGGCCTGCACAGAGGCCCCACAGAGGGAGGTCGGTGAGGACAGGACAGGAAGTGCACCAGGTAAGCAGGGTGGCAGGTGTGGCCCAGAAGGGCCTGGGGCTCCAGCCAGGAACCCTCACTTTGAAGACCAGGGATCCCCCACCGGACTCAGATGTGGCAGTAGATATACCCCTGAGGGTAGGGGGTGCTGAGGGGAGAAGCGAGGCCCCCCTGCCCCTAGCCTCTGGTCTAGGCCTGTGGCGAGTACACTGCCGGCTGCCCTTGGCCCACACCGTAACTTTGGCTAGTGACACTCCCTAGCGCACACAGGCACGCTGCTACCCTCCCCACCCAACACCCGGGCCAGCGAGTGCAGCCCCCAGAAGCACCATGGCTGAGCAGCAGGGCTGAAGTGCGGGAGGACCAGAGGCTGCCCGGAGGTAGGCAGAACCATGGACGTCCCTGGTGGAGACAAAAGGCACTTCTGACATGACGCCCCACACAGGTCCCGAATCCTGTCCCAGCACTCCCTAGTCAATGGTGGGGCTGAGGCACAGGGTGAGGCTGCCCCCCAGGCTCCTGTTTTGGGCTTCCTGGCCACCTAGCTCACCAGAGATGGCCAAGTGGCCAGCCTTCGTGAGCCCAACTGCTTCACCCACCTGGAGCGGTTACTGGCAGACAAGCCTAGAGGGGGCCTCCATTTGGAAAGCAGGAAAATTCTGCATACTGTTTCCAAGGCAACAGGGCAAAAGGCTCCTGGGGATGTGAGTCAGGCTTCGGGGACCAGGGGGCCAGGTGCCTGCAGCTTGCTCATTAAATGAAATTCTGCAAAGTCAGGGCCGGCATGGTCAGTGGGATGGGGAAACACGAAGCATGAACTTGGCAGACCCGCACAGCAGGGGTCCCAGGCTTGTGCCCGTCAGTTGCAACGTCCAGATTAACTGCACCCAGGGATGGAACTTCAACTGTGGTGTAGGGCCAGACAGGCAAGCACAGCTAGAAAGGTGCCCCCTCTGCAGGCCCAGGCCGAAGGCTACAGGGCAGGGTGGTCTCAGCTCCCCCTCCTCACGCCCTAACCCTATCCACAAGCTCTCTTTTCTAAGCTGCAGACCAGAGGCCAGGGCACCCGCGCACGCACGTGTGTGTGTGTGTGAGAGAGAGAGAGAGAGAGCGCGCCCTCGCTGTGGGCTACAGGGAGTGGGCAAACGTCTGCTGCCCTGAGCATGCAGCGCCCACAGTCACCATTTCAAGGAGTCCCGCTCCGTCCCCTTCCAGGCCTGGAGGGCAGCAGCTGTCCGGAGGGCACTGCTCTGCTTGGCTGACCAGCCGCCCTCTCTTCTCCATCCTGCCAGGCCAGGTTTCTCCAGAGAATGGCTCTGGGCAAGAGAGCAGGCTCAGCGGGCTGGGGCTGGCTGGCTGCAGGAGCAGCTCTCATGGGGAGAACCGGGGGAGAGCAGGGGAAGAGGGAGCCGACATAAACCCCTTTTTCTCACCAGCAGAACCTCCTCCTCACTGCCAGGAACATGAAGGGCCTGGATTGGAGGAGGACAGTAAAGAGGGGCCGATGGGGAAGGGAAAGCAGAGACCAGGATGCAGACAGCTGGGGTCCCCACTCTGCCACAGGCGGGGCGCAGAGCAGGGCCCAGTCAGCGGGCATCAGGGGCCCGAGAGGGGGGCTCCAAACCTGGCCAGCTCGCCCTCCTGGCTGGCAGGGGACCCTCCCCCACTGCTCCAGGAGTCCCAGCTCCAGCCAACAGCCCAGGCCAGGACACACGGGGAAGTGAAATCTGATCCCCAGGTATGCCAGCGGGGGAGGGGCAGCATGGGCTGCCGGTGGAAGGCGAACACCAAGGAGAAAATCAGAGGTAAAGTTACGGCGGGCTTGTTTCGCTCTGTGCAACCCCCAGCCCTGAGTCTGCATGCCCACGCCTGCCCGTGTGTGTGTGTGTGTGTGTGTGTGTGCGCGCGCGCGCGCGCACACACGAATGTGGGCGCCGGCCTGTGGGGAGAGAGTGGGCCTCCAAAAGGGCAGTGACTCAGCTAGAGGGGTGCTTCCCTTCCAGCCCACTCCCCAAGGGCTCCCCGCCGGCAGCCTTGTCAGGGCTGGCTTCTCATTATTTCAGTCAAAACACCCCGTGGGAGGGTGGGCAGCTGGAAGCCCAGCTGGGCCCCACCCCCACTCTCCCAGCCCGAGACACTTCCTCTCAGCCTCAGGTCTGGGGACAAAATCCTCCTTGTGTTTGGGCTTGTGCTCAGAAGCCAGGGGCGTCCCCGCTGGGAGGGTGCTGCCGCTGCCCCGCCCCACCCCGTCCCTCCCCCTGGGCTGGACAGAGGTCGTAGGCCCCAGGGCACTGGCACCCTCCTCGGTTCCTGTGCTGATCCTCCTAGGGATCAGAACTTACATCTCATTCTGACCAGTTCAGACGCCAAGGAGGGCTCTGGGGTCGCCCCCAGCCCGAAATGACTTTGAATAAGCTTTCCAGGGGACAAAGGCCCTGCTGGATAAAGCGGTCCTGGTCCACCTGCTGGTCAGTCCCTCCGGCCCCTGGCACGCCAGGCATTTCAGATGCCCTGCCCTGAGCTGCGGCCCTGTGATGGGCCTCCAGGGAACCTGCCAGCTCTCACCACGGGGGCAGGTACCGACGGCTGGTTCCTTGCCAAGCACTGGGCCAGGGGGAATGTGCCCGTGGAAAAGGCAGGGCAACAGGAGGCAGGCAGAACGGAAATGTCTTCCAGGGCTCCAAATCAGCAGGCCACGGGCAGAGCCAACCTGTGCTACCCTGAGGCCCCTTTGCACTGCCGCTGGGCTTGGCGAGCTGTGAGTTTACCAGCAAGCAGTTCTGTCCTAAAGGGCCCAGGTCTTCATTCCTCCTCCTGATCCCACCTCCTCCCTTGCCAACAAGAGGTGGTGGGGACCCTGCCAAAGGTTTGGGGAGGAGGCACTGAGGCCATGCAGCA